GAAGAGCGGGTGAAGAGGCCTATGTAAGAGCATCATTTCAAAGGTCCCTGAGCTTTGCACAGGGAAAGCTGTACGGGGTCCACTTTGTGCTTCTGTGAGATGCAGAGAAACAGAGTTGTCTCCTGACCTGCTGACGGAGGGTGTGGTACCTGCGGATGCGAGCCCCTGCCTGATTCTAGCTACAACAGGTACAGGATCCTTGCTGGTTCTCCAAAATTCTTGCTTCGACTCTACTACCCCTCCCTCCCACCTTGAAAAACAGAAATCAAACCCCAAACCTTACCCATTTGCAGAGACAGGCAGTCAAGCATATCCAGTACCCAAAGAGGGAGGCCACAGGAGGCGGACCAATGAGGATGGAGGGGGTGTGGCCTCTCCTACCACAGGGGTGGAGCCTCAGAGGGGTCCACCTCCTGCTCCTCCCCCACAACACCTGGCACTTTCAGCCTGTATCTCCACAGATGACTCCCTCTGACACAAGTTCCTGGTGTGACCCTGGACCATCCTAACACTGGGGAACACAACCCCGGGTCTGGAGCAGCAGTCCAGCTGGAGATCCCCTTTTGGCTGTTTCTTACAGGGGAGGAAGTATCGGTGCAGAGAGCTTTGTGCATCAGAGCTGTGAAAAGGCCCAGCCCCAGGGGGATTCTGATGGGTGGCAGCACAGGGTCTACACTGATGAGATGGCAGCAAGACATGGGGAGGAAGAAATACCACTGATGGCCCTGGCACAGTAACAGCCTTTCAGAAACTACATCCCGAGCAGGCAAGGGTGGTGGGAGGTGGTCCCTGTCTCCCATGTCTGGGCCCTCTTCTGCGAGGCTACACATGGATCCCACATGTCCACACTCACTCCCGGACCCTCTCACCAAGGGTGGGTCTGCCTTGAGGGACCTGTGCAGGAGCCAGATATGCCTCCTCACCTCTCCTGTCCTCCAGGAACTCAGGGAGTTGGATGTCAAGGAGGCACACTCTCCCACCTTGCTTTGCTCACAACCAACAGGCAACATTCTACATCTGGGAGGAAGGCGAATTGAATACAAGCTCACCTAGGTGCTCCATCTGCCCTGAAATACTATTTTCCTGTGTCTCTCAGTGCCCACCTGGAAAAGACCCCCACCCTGCCCTCTGAGAGTCTCAGCTCCAGTTCCCCATCTACCCCGGGCCCCACTGACTCAGTTTCCAGCTGCGAGGCCTTTTTCCCACACTGGGGGCGCCTTGCTTCTCCCATCTGCGTCCTGGGTCCATTTGACCTCCCTGCCTCTGGTGGATGGTGTGCTTTGGAATGAGATCCTGGCCGCCACATGCTTTTGAGCTCCTCGGGGGGATGCATGGAGTTGGGAACATCATCTAGCGGTTTCCTTGGCTCCAGCTACTTTCCCGAGAACCCCAGTTTTATTGCTGGGAGAGTATTAATCTTTTCCCAGTCACTGAATCAGTGTCCTCCAGAGTTTGAAAAGGAGAAAAAGGCTCTTTGGCCTGAGGCAGACCCTGTCCACCTGTGAAGAGAGTTTGGGGAGGGGGCAGTTCTCAGCCCCACCCCCACTCCAGAACAAGGGCCAAGCAATTTTGAAACAAATCATCAAAACCTACAGAGCAGACTGAGGACAGGCAGGCCTGCCTCTTCTCAGACCCTCACTCACATCTCCTGACTCGATTGGTAAAACACTCAAGTTACTTTTGACTTTTCAAATTTGGGAAACCGTCTGAGCCAATCTGCCCTGATGGGCACCATGGCGCCTGAGAATCTTTCTAGGTTAGGAAAAAAAAAAATTTTTTTTTTTGGCTGTAGTTCAGGAGACGAAGATAAGTCTCCCCTCATTGTTGCTGAACCCAAGGGAAACCAGCTGGGTGAAAACAAATGCTGATGAAGGAATTCAAATTCTTTTTCGTTTTATTTATTTTTATTTTTTTTTTTTCCAAGAGAGCACCACAGGGAACAAAACTTGCAAAGAATTGACTTACAAACAGGTTGTCGCCTTCCACCCTTCGCCTTCAAAAGGTTTCAGCCACATGCCTGGGAACATTAAACACACGATTGCTCAACATTATTTGTTGACAGCTTCAGAGCCTCATCAAATTGAGTTGTTCACCAAAAGGCAAGGCAGTCAGAAAGCAGGCCATGCTCCCAGCCTGGGGGTGGGTAATCAATCTATCAGTGGGTCTCAAGGGGTCAGTTTGAGTTCCCCAAGGTTCATTTGAGTGGCACCTGGCCTAAGCCCTTCCTCTTGGAGCTGAGTGACCTCAGGAGATCAGAACCAAAGATGTTTTGGTGCATCTACAACTCCCAGGTCTCAAGGACTTGAAAAACTAAAATATCAGGGTGGGTGGGAAGTGTCTTAAAATTTGTTTTTCTCCTGGAAAAAAAAAAAAAAGTCAATGGAAGAAAAAAAAATCCAATGGTAGGGGAAAGGTGAGAGGAAGGGTAAATTATTTGCAATTTCCAAATAGATTCACTGGCTGAGAGGAAATAGGGCATGTTGGCATTACCTTTCCTGAGAAGGCTGCTTTCACTAGAGCCATTAAGGAAAAAAAAAAAAAAAAAAAAAAAGATATAAATATAAGAGAGATGGCAGTTTAATGATCAATTGGACCATTCCTATCCCTTATCAAGCTAACTGGAGTTAAAAATATGTAGTGAGAGTTGTCAAGATGTTATCTTCAAATAATAAACATGCAACACAACCATTCTTTGGTGTAGCTCTTCACCCCTCTGCTTATCTTTAGAATGAGAGGGGAAAGATTTAATCTACAAAAGGGGGTCAGGAAATAAAAACCCCCCCAGTCCCAGAATGCCTGCACCTGTGCGTGCTTGCCTTATGGACAGCAGGGTAAAGTCACCTATCATGCAGCCCAGAAAAATTCAAATCATGAGAGCAAAACATGCTTCCTACACATAGGAGAACACTGGGGTTCCCCTGGTCTCTATGGGGAGGTCCCCCACTTTGGGCCACAAAAGCAAATTATCTTTCTAAAACAAACCCACACCATGGGGCTTAGAGACTGACAGTTTCCTCTGTCCCACCCTCAGCATTTGGTTTCCAAGCAAAGCCGTGTTTTAGGGCTCTTGAAAAACTATTTTTAAATGGCCATAACCTTCTTAAGAAAGCTCGCAGGGATATAAAGAATTAAGTTGTAGCGAGCTGACAAGGAGCCCTGGCATTTTATCTGGCTTCCAGTGCTCTCTCTTCCCAGCATCTTTTGTCTGCCTTGGCTCCTAAGACATAAACAATTGGGCCTTGTAGCCAAGCCCTCTCCAAAGACGAGAAATCAAAGCAGATTAAACAGCCTGCCGCTGGTTCCCGCCCAGCCTGCCAGCCTGCCCCCCGCCCATCCACCTGCTTCAGGAAACCAGATGGGGTGCCCACTGAGACAACAGGGACAGTGGGCCTTGGGGGAGGGGGTGCTGCGACACTCATCTCCACGTGGGTGCAATATTCCATGGCAGCTCAGCATGGTGCTCGGGGTTCTACTCCATTACCCTCCCTCCCACCTCCCACAGACAGGCGAGGGGATCTGGGCTCCTAACGGAATGATGGGGCCCAAATCCACTGAGACGTATGATCCAGATTCCCTGGGGGAGGGGGACGGCTGCCAAGTGAGTTGCTGAAGCCTTTAGAAATCCCAGCCTGACTCTGGCTTTCAGGAATTGCCTGGAAAGTTGTGGGCTTGACTTTTTTCTCCTTTTATATCCCACACCTACTTGTCTGCTCACACACAAACTGGCCCATTCTTCAGGGCTGGCCAAAGAACAGCTGGCCAGAGTCCCAGACAACACTTGACCCAGATGATAAGATGACCACTCATACCCAAATGGTGCCTTTCTCTAGAACGCCACAGGGCAGCATCCCCCAGACCAGGGCTGGGATTGGCCTCCCCGCCAGACTGGGAAAGGGATGGTAGGCAGGCAACAGAAAAGAGAGGCACAAAAATCCACAAAGCAAGACCCAGTCTCTGCGGATCTAGGCATCCCAGCAGCAAACTAGCCTATCTTGAAGATTGTGCATTTGACCTTGTTAACACACCTACCTGCCCACTGAATATGGTTCAAAGTGGTCCCCAGGAAGCTCTTGGACGAGGTCCCTCAACACTGGGGCTATTAAAAAGGTCAGATGCATACACAGTGGCTAAGACTTAGACTCATGTATGTGATTCCATGCAGACCAAGGCCTGGAAACAAGACCAAGAAAGGCACGAACCCTGGGCACAGAGCATCTGCTTCTATGAAATGTTTCTTTAGCGTCCGGGCATGACAACCCTCTCTGGGAAAAAAGTCAACTCCAAGGCAAAGCCCAAGAAGACGAAGTGTGGTCTATCCATACAATGGAATATGAAGCCATAAAAAGGAACAAAGCACTGACAAATACCACAAAGTAGATGAACTTTGAAGACACGATGTTAAGTGAAAGAAGCCAGACCAAAAGGACATTTTATGATTCTATTTACATAAAATATCCAGAACAGGCAAATCCATAGAGATAGAAAGCAGACCAGTGACTGCCAGAGGCTTGGGGAGGGGGGAATGGGGAGTGACTGCTACTGAGTATGGGGTTTATTTCTGGGGTGATGAGAATGTCTTAGAATTAGAAATGATGGCTGCACAACACTGTGAATGTGCTCAATGCCACTGAATTGTGCACTTTGTGTATGTGGATTATATCTCAATTAAAAAAAAGAGAGAGAGAGAAGAAATATTTGAAGACCTATAAGAGAAAAGAAGTAGGCCCTTTCTGTGCCAGTTTCCCACTCTCAGACCTGTCTCAAATGCCTGGGGACGCTGGGTCAAGTTCCAGCAAGGAAGAGCCAGTGCTTTTCAGAGGAACCTCATGGAATGGAACAGAGCACGGCAGAGGGCCCATTGTCTGGTATCTGAGCCTTGGCCCCTGCTCCTAGGGCATGGGGCTGGGGGTGGGATGCAGTGTCTGAGAAACCATCAAGGAGAAAAGGGGACCCACCCCCCCAGCCACAAGCAGACATTGAGGCTGAACTCAGATAGTCCCTGGGGGACTCACAGACACTGGCTTCCTCGGGGTCCTACATCACATCTGGGGCCCCCATATGGTCAGGACCTGACCTACCTTCCAAGGTCCAGCCCCCCCGCCGCTCCAAACCACCACTACAACAACCATGAAATCCCCCGACTCCCTCACATCCCTTCATACACGTGGGAAGAAGGAAGAGGCACGGATCCTGGCATCGCACGGTGCTTTCTCAAGAGACACTTCCTCTTCAACAGGGGGTTTCGGCTGTCACCAGCCTGGAGGTGAACAGAAACTCCCGGGGCTCTGGGTGGGGCTCTCGCGGGCACCCCCTGCCATGCAGAACCAGGACCAAGACCCAGCTTGAGGCAGGGAGCAGGAGGGACAAGGGACCAGGAAAGACTTCGGAATGACCGTCCCGTGCGCCCCAAGCACCAGGCAGAGCTCGGGGGCCAGTGTGGCCACGAGAAGAAAAGGAAGCCTCCTCACCCGCGTTCTGTCCTCGATCTCGTAGATCCGCAGCTGCATGGGCACGTTGAAGCTGTGCAGAATGTTTCCGCCGAACACCAGAGAGTCTACGGGGGTGTAGACTGCATGGATCCAGCCTGGGGTGGGGAGGGCACAGAGAGGGTCAGCCATTGGCCCTTTGGGGGCCCCCATTGTGCCCACATGCAGGAGGGCGCAGGAGGCCCAGGTGAGCACCCAGGGCCAGAGGGAGGATGCTCGGGCTGCCTGACACATAGGGCTGAGCTCCTGGCTGGCCTAGAGGACCCAGACCCACAGCCCCACTGACTGCTGCTGGCAGTGACCCCTGGCTAGCTCAAGTCGATCCTGGGCAGCTGCAGACCAACCCCCTTGTCCTGAAGACCTTGGTGATGAAGTGTTACAATGGACCTGGCTGCAGTAGGCAACAGAGAGGCAGGCCCTGCCCCTCTCCCCTGCAGGCCAGGGAGCTGAGAACCCCTCACTCAGGCTACTCATATGTCCTTAAGCCTCTTCCTCATCATCCCAGCGACCGTCCATCTCAGGAGGTGTCAAGGATGGCTCGGCGCCACAACTAAGGGTTGTGACATCCCGCCAGAACCCAGATGCCTCCTCTGCCCGAAGCCACCCCCTGCCATCGAAATCCTCCAAGGCCCATTTCCAGGTGGTCTCCTCAGCCACATGACACCTGCATCCCATATCAGTTCTGCTTCTGCTCTGCCCTATAACTGCTGACAAGTCTCTCTCCTGCCAACTGCAGCTTATTAACACCTTGAGGCACGGCTTTTTCATCTCCCTGAGCTCCTGGCCCAAAGGCTGGCACTGCAATCATGAGAAGGATAACTGAGGACTACCTTTGTGCCAGGCACTGGCCTGAGGGCTTTACAGGACTCCTCTCATTTAATCTTCACAAGATCCCTACAAGGTACATGCGACATTCACCCCCAAATTACGGACGAGAAGACTGAGGCACAGAAAAGTGAAGTCACTTATAAGGACTGGGACCCAGGGAGTTGGCCTCCGCTTGGTCCATGAAGGCTAGAGACAAAGCAAGCTGCCTAATTCCTTCAATGATGGACTGAATGTGTGTCCAGTGCTCAACAGTCCTCCATGCAGCTCCTGGCTACCATACTGGACAGTGCAGAGCGAGGGGAGGGGTGGCATTATAACCCACTCCCATTTACAGATGCTGAAACCGAGGCTCCGAGAAGGAAGTCACTTGCTGAATGATGTCACAGCAGGTGAGTGACAGCGGCTCCATTTTTAACCGCCATGCTGCACTGCGGCTACATCACAGGCTTATTAGCACAGGCTTGGGAGTCCCGGGAGACAGGCCCGTGAACACAGAGGGGAGGCAAAAAGGGAACCAAGAAAGCCAGAGGCGAAGACAAGGAGAGACAGAGGCCGAGGGACTCACGGTGAAAGACAGGGTCAGCAGAGGGGAAAGGGGACAGACAGGGGCAACGTGAGATCCCAAGCCTTCTCCACAACCCTGAGCCTAATTCATTCGCTCGGAGGCAAAGTATAGAGGCCTCCCCGCCCACACCGAGCGGGAGCAGTTCCAGCCTCTTTCCTCGGTGAGCCGAACACGCCAGCCCTGAGTCACGGGCAGCCACGGGTGGCCGCGGCTGCCGGGAGCCGGGCTGCCACCTGGGAAGAGAGCTCGGAGGCTGCGAGGCCACTGCTGGCATCTGTGTCAACACTCTGGGCGGCAGGCCCTCCCCTGCTGGGGACGATCTGTGGGACAGAGTTGGTGGCGCTCAGGAGAGGGCAGGGGAAACCCGCCAGCCAGGAGCACAGGAGCGAAGGCTTTATGTAACCCCCTTCTGTGGTTACCCGCCCACAGCTCTGGCCGCCGCTCTGCCCGCCAGGTGTGCCCTTGCCTGCCAGGTGTGCCCTTGCGGGGCTACCTGGGCTCCTTCCCCACCACCTCCCTGCCCCCCGCCCCACCCCATGCAGCAGTGCGGCTGCACCTCTAAAGTCCCGGTTTCCCGGTTTCCGGGACTTCCCTGGCGATCCAGTGGTTAAGACTCCGCGCCTCCACTGCAGGCGGCAAAAGTTCTATCCCTGGTCCAGGAACCAAGATCCTGCAGGCCCCGCGGCGAGGCCAAAAAAAAAAAAACAAAAAAAACAAGTCCTGTTTTCCACATCTGCTTCAGCCTCTCCGCCTCAGCTGTGTACCAGCTGATATTCTCAACTGTACATTTTGTTTGTTTCTACCAAGCAGAGCCACACTGTCTATTACTATTGCTGTTACCACCATCAGCATTATTCAAGCAACATTTCCTAAGACTGAGACCTAGGACAGCCGGGTTTCAAGCACATGCTCGTGGTGGGGTGAAGCCTGAATGGGACAAAGGGTCCTGGGTCCCTTTCCTATGCTCCTCGCATGCCCACCTAATGCCTATGAAAGCCCACGTCCAGGGGCCCGGGTTGGAGACTGTCCCCAGTGCTGACTCACCACGTGGCCTGGGGCACCTGGCTGGCCCCTCTCCTGGCCTCCACGTGCCCGTGTGAAATGAAGAAGACCACTGCTTCCCTCGTAAGAACTCAAACCGTGTAAGCAACTGCCACCGACGCTCGTGGTAGTCCCGTCCATCACGGGGGCTTTGGAAAGAACATGAATCTGCATTCATCAGCCCCAGACTCTCCCTTCTGGAAACGCAGACTCACTTGACTTACGTCTATTCCCCTGATGTGAGAGGTGCTGTTGCGAGGAGAGGGGCAGGGAATCTGCACTGACATTCCAGGGGTTCTAGAAACTTCTCTCCACACTCCTCTCTTCCGCAGGCCGGTGCCTCGCAGATAGGTCAGGCAGCCCGGCCTGGACTAGAGTCACTGCCCAGCCCCTGACCCCAGCCCCCCTCCCAACTGCTCCGTTACTTAAATGCTTGCTTCTAGGACCTCCCTTGTGGTGCAGTGGTTAAGACTCGGCGCTTCCACCGCAGGGGACACTGGTTCCGTTCCTGGTCGGGGAACTAAGATCCCACATGCCGTGCAGTGCGGCCAAAAAAATTTTAAAAATTAAAAAAAAATAAAAAGATTTCAAAAAAAAATTTTTTTAAGTAAACACTTGCCTCCGGAAGAACCAGGGAGTGGAAATAACAGCATTCAGAAGCCCCATCTGAACCCACCCTCCGATACTCGTTCATTGCATCCCAGGAAGCACGAGAGAGCAATTGTTCCCAGACTGCTGACTGCACCGAGGATGCTGGCATCTGCCTCCTGCTTCCAGGCCAGAGTCTCCAACAACATGAAGGCAATAACAGAGGCTATCAGGCCAAGTGACAAGGGACAGATCCAGTCACGGAAGGAAAGCAGGCGACCCACAAAACCAACTGACGGGTATTCTCTGGGACGTGAAGGGCCGAGAAGGCCGCGGGGGCACATGGTGCCTGACTCACAGCCCAAACGCTCAGGGTTCGGAATGAAAAGGCCCCTGACCCACATTTGTGTGGCTGCTGCAGGGATAAACCCAAAGGTCCCAGAGCTCAGGGGTGCCTCACAGAGGCCCACGGCCTGCTTCCTTCAGGAACATCCACGAACTCCCTGTGCTGGCCCAGGCCCAGGCCCGGGGCTGGGCACTGTGGCTGCCAGGATGAAGCCAGGATGGCCTCTCCTCTCTGGGACCTCACATTTGGTACCAGGGGCCCAAACTGCCAGGCCACGGGCTGCATCAGACCCAGGGGCATGTACAGTTTGACCCACCTGTGTTATCAAAATGGGGAAATTTCGGGCTTCCCTGGTGGCGCAGTGGTTAAGAATCCGCCTGCCAATGCAGGGGACACGGGTTCAAGCCCTGGTCCGGGAAGATCCCACGTGCGGCGGGGCAACTAAGCCTGTGCACCACAACTACTGAGCCAGCGAGCCACAACTACTGAGCCCATGTGCTGCAACTACTGAACCCCGTGCACCTAGAGCCCATGCTCCGCAACAAGAGAAGCCACCGCAATGAAAAGCCTGCGCACCACAACAAACTGTAGCCCCCGCTCGCCGCAACTAGAGAAAGCCTGCGCACAGCAACAAAGACCCAATGCGGCCAAAAACAAAAACAAAAAAACAAATAAATTAAATTTTTTTAAATGGGGAAATTTCACAAGATTATCTGAAGTGTTTCCTCTCCAGAAAAATGAGAAGCTGGGCCCACCAGGCCCTCCAGCCCTAACTGGCTGGAGCCGAGCAGCAATTCCCCAGTTTCCCAGAGTGCCTCCACCCCAGCCTGCTTCACTGCCAGCCCTTCTCTGCTCTGTACCCATTTTACAGATAGATCATCTCAGGTCCAAGCCATTATACTGTTAAATAGCTAGGAGTTACTGTTTCTCAGACTTGCCCAAGTCTAAGAAATACCTGGGGCTACTGTGAATTTTACTACAAGGCAAGGATGGGAAATACTTTCAGGCCAGCCCAAGCCATGGACCCCAGGATCCTTCCCAAGCCCCTGTACTGGGCTCCACCATCCTGCTGCCACCTAGCTGGACATACACTCACAATGGAGTGTACATCTCACGTCCTCCCCAGCACGTTCTGCACTGCCAAGTGGACCCTTAAGAAAGTTTATTAAATGAGCACATAATTCTCCCAAACTCACACAGCCGAGAAGGGGGACCAGATCCCAAGCCTGCTGATTCCCAGGCTGACAGGGAACCAGGTGGGTTCTGAAACTAGACACACCTGGGTTCTCATCCTGCCCTGTCACTTATTAACTGTGTGACCTTGGACTAGTTTGTTCACCTCTCTGGGCCTCAGGAACCTTCACTTTTAAAAAGGGGGTAGGAGTGGGGGTGGGGGGATGTTTCCTTACATTCTTACGGAGAAGTGATGTACATAAAATGATTGTTGCTCAGTAATGCAAGTTATTACTATTAACTACAGCTCACCTGAGCAGGTGAAGTCAGAGGGGGAATTGGCCATAGGTCAGGTCAAGGGAAGGAAAAAGATGTCACCAGTTCCACTGCTGAGTTCCAACTCCAGCTTTCCTTACTCCTAATGATCAGGCTGAATCTTGGTGACTCCCGGGCCACTCCCAACTCTGACTCTGACTCTGTGTGGCCTGGCAAGGCTACTGTATTCCCACCTCCTCCACCTTCGAGAGCTGGCCAGCTCAACGGGACAAACCCAAGCCCCTTTCTCCAGGTCATCTTACTCCTGAGTCACCTTCAACAGTCTTCTCTTCCAGGCAGCTTTCCTGGACTAACCAGGAATGAGGCCTGAAGAACCACCACCTCTGAAGCATTGCTAGTACCCAACCCCTTCACCCTCAGACAAAAGAAGAAAAAGATAAACCAAGTCTCACAAAGATACTGTGACACTTAAAATCCTCCTAACCCAATGGCAGGGGAGGCTTGAGGCCAGCATGAGGTAGGGCACATCTAAGGTCACACTGTGGAGGTGAAAACCCAGATCAGAGGTGGGAAATTCCAGAATTAGATTCTCCACTTTCCACACCCAAAAGCTCACGTGCAGTGGCGGGATTCCCCAAGGCACTCTCCCCAAAGCCACATCCCAGCTACCACAAATCTCAGATGTATGTCTGGTTCAGAGGGTGTGAGGACCCAAGATGCTCAGCTAGTTCAGTGACTCCAAAACCCTGGTCCTTTAGTTTTCACTGGTTGACAACAAAATAAGAAAAATGAAGACGGCATAGATTCTCATAAACTCAAACCCATCAAATTTCAAGTAGTGACTGTCCTTTATTCTGGCATTATGTACTCCCATCTTTTTTAGTGTCAGTCTTCCTTTCATGACACATCATCAAAAGTAGCTGGCAGGTTGTGTTTTTACATTAGTGCCCACATTTAGCAAAACTACAAGATAATAACGTTGATACCAGTTCCCACCTCTTTTTTTTTGAGTTCATGAAATCAATGTCTGGGAACCACATGTATACCCTGCCCTTGAGAAGGTGACAAATTCCAACTGTCCCTTTTTTGCTTCCCAAAATCCAGGAAAAAAATCCTGGTGTCTCACTCAAGACTGTTAGGGCCAGATGTCTTTGCTGAATTCTAAATAGACTCCTACCAGCTGCAGTTCAAATCCATGTCCCCTCTTCCTGCCTTCAACACACAGTCACACCCCTGCTGTGGCTTAGATGCTGCTTCTTGAGACCTTTTCCAACTTGTTAAGGCACCAAAATTAACACCCTTCCCATCCCAGATCGGGGGGAAAGCAATGGGCCACCTCTCGGTTCTGAAAAAGGCCCTGCGAGAAAAACGCCTGTCCTCCCAGGGAGGCTAAGGAGGCCTGCACTCAGGGGACAGAGTTGGGAGGGAGCCTGAGGATCCCAGAGTTCAGCCACACCCTGCCCCCACTGTAGAGATGGGACAGTTGAGGCACAGAGAGGGGAAGAGATCAGCCCAAAGTCACAAAGACAGCAGCAAGGCCAAGAGCACGGCAGCCTCCCTTTGAATCTACCAGGGCCAATCTTCCAACACCTGCAGTGGCCTTAAACACGCTGCAGGATACCACCTCCTTCCAGGGTGTGCTCCATAAATGCTGTCCACCAACTACAATTCCCTCCTGTCCCAAGCAGCAGTCCCTGCCCTCCCGGAGTCAAGCAGCTCCAAGGATGCACCTGGGGCCCTGACAACAAAGTCACCCCCACCAAACCCCGCCACCTCCAAATCCCAAACTTCCCTAATAGTGAAATCTCTGCCCAACTTTCTAGAAGAGCCCGCATGTGCAGGTCCCATCCCCATGGTGGGAACTGCTACCACAACCGCTCCCCCTTCAGTTGACACTGACTTGATGTCCAGACCCAAGGCCAACTCCAGTCCAACTTAAGTGTGACCAGCTTCTCCATCCAATGGATCTTAGTGGCCTCAAAGGAGGCCTTGGACCCTAAGATCCAAGCTTCCACTCAGTGGCAATTTCCCTGCAGGCTCCTTGGCATATGGCCTCTACTCGTGTACCTCCAGTGACGGGGAGCTCAGTGCCTAGCAGAGCAACTCATTCCAATACCACTTGGCTATACCTCGTCTTCCAAGATATGATCCTTCAACTGGCTGATGGCCATCACCATACACCTTCACTTCCTGGGTAAAACAACCCAATTCCTCCTTCAAATTCACCTCACCTGATGTGGTATTCAGACTCTTCTCTCTCTCGAGGTTGACTTACCCATGAGGGTAAGTCATTACAACCCACGAGGAACACAATCTCCTACATGTGGCCTGACCCTCTCACTCTATACAGTGGGACTGTCACCTCCCTCATGCTGGGTAAAACACTTCCACTAAAATGCAGCCTAAGATTCCCAGGTCATCTGCCACATCCACTAGTGACTCAGCCTGTAACTGGCCAAAAGCCCTCAGCCCATCTCCCAGGAGCTGTAGGCAAATAGGTCTCGGTTCACTCAGTCCTCACTACCACCCTGGGAAGTCTTCCATTTTACAGATGAGAATATTGAGGCACTGAGATTAAGTCATTTCCAGGAAGTCAGGCTTGTAAGCAGCAGAGCAGGAATTTGAATTAGGGCGGGGCTTTCTGGCCCCAGGGCCCATGCTCTTAATTATTGCCCTCTGCTATAGTTGTAGTTTTGTTTTGTTTTTTTTAAAGGGGCAAGTCCAAGTACAGAAATTGACCTTGATCCCAATTACATTTCATCTTGTTCTGCAGGAAGGACCCTGCCACTCTGGGAGCATTCCCCTCTACCCTCTTCCCCTGGGCCAACTCTCCCTTCTCCCCTCCCCAGCCATCAGGATAAAGTTGCCCCTCCCCTCCCCACAGGACCACCCTCACCCCTCCCCTCCCCACAGGACCACCCTCATCCTCACCCTCAGAAATCTCTGCAGGACATCTTGGAGGGAGGGCCCTCAGGAGGCTTTCTCCCCAGGAGAGAATTCTAGCCCACAGGCAGGAACAAACAGGTAAGATGTGAGAGGCTATTTTTCCCTGCAGCCTGAGGCCTGCTTCTCTCCTTCTCTCAGGGACTGCCAAGGGCAAGGAGGCCCAGAGAAACCCCATCACTTAGCCTAAACGCCTGGCTGAGGCCACCGGGCCAACAGGAGGCTGCTAAGAGTCAGTGGCCGAGCAAGAGCCCAGTGCCAGCCTCGCGGGAACCTACCGGAAGGGATGAAAAATGTGTAGCCCTGTTTCAGCTCAATTCTTTGGCATCGCTCCACACGGTCTCCCAGGAAGATGTCGCTCTGTTTGCCTGACAGCACCCACTCCTCGTACAGTGCCAAATTGTGCAAGGTCGGAGGAATCAGCCAAAAGATCTTAGGAGGAAAAGGAAGCAATCAGTTAAAGATCCAGGCCCAAGTCTCTGATTTCTTCCAGGCTCTGCCACAACCCAGAAGACAGCCTCACCTGCCTGGGAGCAGGGAGGATGGGGGAGGACACATCCCCGGAGACCCTTCCAGGACCAGGCCCAAAGGGTCTCTGCGGTGGCAGGGAAGGCTGTACCGCCCTTCTGGGACACCCCTTGCCCGCCTTTAGAGAATCTCCGTTCCAGCTGAAACACCAGGGTGGGAAGACTTCCTGGACTGAGTGGAACATTCTTTCTCCTGAGCCGTGGGCTTGTCAGGGAGGTGGGGGAAGGAGAAGGGGAATTTCCTAAGTTGTAGGATAAAATGGCCCAATAAATAAAACCAGCTTGTGCTGGCTCTGGAGAAGGAGGAAAGACATCTGGAACCAAGAGGGATGACTTCCTACCCGGAATTTCTTCCAACACATTCGGTTAAGACAAATGCACATGCAGACCCAGAGGAGCAGGGCAGCACACACGTATTCTCAAGGAGCACCCACATCCACGCAGGGACCCCTACGTCCCCACGTGGACATGCACACAGGAGCAGACACAGCAGGAGCACCCCGAACACATGTCTCACGTCCTTTCTCTGGGTGATGTCTGTCCCTAATGTAAACTGTTCTTGCAGGCAAATAGACTTTTAAGTTAAAAGGTCCCAGTGCTGGAGCTGAAATTACAGCTGGGGGAAATGAAGGCTGGAGGTTCTTGGGAGCCAAATCTGGAGTTCTAATCTGGCCCAAGATGCGTAGGACACTGAACTGGGTAAGCAGGTGTGAAAGGGTGACCAGATGTGATGCAAAAGAGTTGACCTTGACCTTTCCCTCCAGAAGAAGACAGAGGGTGAGAAAGTCCTCACAGGGTGGGGTCTGGCTGGAGGCGGGGGCAGAAGCAGAAAGGTGAGTGAGCCCCTCCATGCACAAACAGCCAGGCATGTACAGAGATCTGAAGAGACTCAACTCACCTTCCCTCCCCGGAAAACATGGTACCAAACGGAAGTGCCTCCAAAGTCGATGTGGAAGTCAGTGAAACAACCTTTCACGCTCATCAGACAGTACCTGCAGCACAGAAGTGGGGAAGCAGAAAAACAATTCAATGCCTGAATCACAGGAGGCGAGCAAACAGCTTCAGAGATGCCTGACCTGCTGCCCTTTTATAAACGCTGACACTGGGGAATTTTCTTTTTTTTTAGACCCAAATCTAATCGGAGTTCCCCATGGGGGAAGCCCCTGTGACCAGGTGGCAAATCTCAAGCATTGGCTACCTGCCCCCCAAGGCTGGGAGAGGCATTTTTGTTTTCAGGTTCCCGCGAGAGAGCTGGCAACCCACAGGCCACTTGGTTCCTTCCTTGAAGACAGTTTTTACTCTTGCCCCACCCCTGCCTCCTACCCAAGCAAGAGGCTTCATTTCTGCTCCTTCCAGCTCCTATACCTGCAGTTCTCCCAAGCTGCCAGGCCCCTTTGCAGCAGCTGGGCCCTCTGGAATTCAGCTGTAAACCACCTGCATAGCTTGCCAATTACTAGTCCCCATTCATCTCCTCATTCATCCAACAATCATGTACTGAGAGGCAACCAGTGGTCCAGCCCAGAACTAGGCATGGCACTTAGAGAAAAGCATAAGACCCCTGACCCCTGCCATTAAGGATGAAACACTCTTAAGGGAGCACTACCCTGGGAAAGTTAAATGGCAAGACAAAGTGCAAATGATTGCAAAGTAAGCAATGCAGCTGGAAGTACAAGGGTACCAGCCGTAAAAGACCACAGTGTATAATTCCACGTATGAAATGTCCAGAGTAGGCAGATCTACAGAGACAGAGAGCAGGTTAGTGGTGGCCAGAGGCTGGGGCTGTTGGGAGGAAATGGGGAGTGACTGCTAATGGGTACAGGTCTTCGTTGCAGGGTGACAAAAATGTACCAAAATTGATGGTGGTTGCACAACTCTGTAAACATACTAAAAAACACTGAATTGTACACTTTAAGTGGATGAATGGTATGTGAACTGTACCTCAATAAAGCTGCTAAAAAAAAAAAGTAAAGCCATAAAGACCCTCGGGGTGGGGGGGTGGAGTGGCAGAGAGGGAGGGAAGGAGTCAGAGAGGGAGAGCCCGGCCCTGAGCGGCTTGGACAGAGGGAGGGCATTCGGGAGAAGAAACCTGCCAGCAGCCCCCCTTCTAAGCTCTAGCGACTGCCAGACAACCCACCCTTCCTTACAGGGACTCACCCGTCCCCTCCCTCCTCCCTCCACTTGCTGCCCTCCTAGGGGTGGGCAGAGCTTAGGAGGAGGGGGGACAGACAGGCTTCCAGGTCCCGGCCTGGCAGACGGCAGTGCCAGGGCCCCCTCCCTCTCACCCACCCCTTCCCCCAAAAGCCACAAGAGCACGGCTGGGGCAGTCCCCCACGGCTCATGCTCCCACACCGTGGCGCCTCCGGAGGCCCGCATACACACGCTTACCCCACTGACCGCTTTTCCCCGCTGCACTTTGCTTTTCCACGGTTTGGGAAGAGGAGAGGAATGGGGCGGGGTCGGGCAGGGAGGTGCCAGCAGCCTGAGAGGAGATAATGGTGGGGGCCAGGGGGGACGTGGGCTGAGCTGCTTAGGAGGCTGGAGGGTTCCAGGCGCCCCCTCCCTCTGGTTGCCTTTTGCACCTCACATTCAGGTGGACCCGGGGCTCGGCAGTATGCAGGCGGCGTGCCCCGCGTCCCTCCTCCGGATAGGCTGGAAGGAGCCTTAACCATGTGTCTGCAGGAGGCTGACAAATCAGAAGGCCTTCCTGCACATCAGAGCCCCGCTGCCTAGCAACCCCATCGGAGGGGTGTAGTTGACAGCACAGGACGCAGCCCTGTCACGAAGACAGGCGCGGGCTGTGCTGCTGGCGCTGGGGTTGTTAAAGTCCCAGCTCCGGCTCCGGCTCCGGCTCCACACCCTGCTGCCTCCTCCCGGCCCACCCAAGCCAGGTCCCCACTCTGAAGGCCTGGGTGATTCTCTTCTCTCCAAGGAACTGGAGGGGTAGGGGGCCTGCTAAAGCCCCAGTCCACCCCACCCCCAGGGACCACGCCGCCCTCTTCTCGCCAAGCACCACTTCAAAATATTAGTCCTCATTTTCCTAAAACCACTCTTCCTCTCGGTTTTCTTCTTCTCTTTCTTTCATCTAACCTTGGTTTCCACCTCCTCCAGGCCTGAGCAGAACACAGTCTGGGGAAAGCAATTTAAGTGTTTGTGGGGTGGAGAAAGGCGAGGTGCTTCCTTCGGTCTGCAGCTGGATACCCACCCAGGGGCCCAAAGCAGAAAGGAGAGGAGCTTGGCTCTTGGGCTCTCGGGCTCCAGGACCCAAGTCTCCCCGGCCAAACAGGTCGTCCACCTTCAACCTGCCAATCTCCGGCCGCAGTTCCAGCCGCCCCAGCACACGCGGAAACGGAATCCCTGCGAGCTGCGGCTGCTGCGTACAAGGGAAAGTTCTCCAAGTTGAGCCCGCGTCTGCTATGCCCTCCCAGTCACCCTCCAGCACCCTCCGAGGCCCCTCGGAGCTTGGGGGCGCCACTTCCAGCCCCGCCTCTCCAGGAAAGGCCCCTCCTCCCATGTCCCTCATTTCCTGGCTGCCAGGCCTGGACCGCCCCTCCTGCCGGGCAAGTGCACGCTTTAGGGTGGCCAGGGGAGCTGGGACGGGGCGGCTGTTGTCCCGGGCCCCTGCAGCCGTCACCCCGCCTGCCTCCTCGCCTGCCCCGCGCTCATTCCGCGTTTCCCCCCTCACTCCTGCTTCTCGCTCGCTCTGGCGTGACGCCTTTGCACTGACCTCTAACAGCTTCCTCTTCCAAAGCACACCGCAGTCACATGGGCACCCCGGCTCGGTGCCACGGCCGCTAAGCTCTCGCCGCGGCCGGCCAGCCGGCCTGGTTTCCGCCTCGGCCGCCCCCTGCCCGGAAAGCCGCGCCCCTCGACACCCCCACTCACGGCGCAGGCGGCATCTGTGTAGGACACCCTCCAAGTTGGCGCCTGAAAACCCCGCACCCCCGACCTAAGATTTTGGGGGCTTCCCACCTCCCAAGGCCGGGGCTGGCTGGGGAGGAGCGTGGTAGGAGGGGGCGCTGCACCTGCAGCACCAACTTTGGGGCGCTGCCTCGGGTCTGGGGAGGCGGGGCAGCCCCACCCCGCCCTTCTCCCTCCAACTTAGCGAAACTCCCCCGGCAGCCCAGGCGGCGTCCCCTCGGGCAAAGGTCTGGCGGGGGGACCTGGAAAGCTGGCACCGGGTGACGGGGCTGGAGGCGCCGAGCGCGCGTGCACACGCGCTACACACTTACACGCAGCCCCGGGAGACACAAAGAGCGGCTCCGTGACGCCGGCCGTGCAGCCCGCGGGAGGGAAGCGACCCACACCCCGCCCCGGTGCGCCCCGAAGGAGTGAGGGGCTCCCGGGCAGCCCCGGGCCCGCGGGGCGCAGCGCAGGAACGCCCGCCCGGCCCCGCCCGCGGTTACCCTCGACTGCAGCGCGGCTCCCGGGCGTCCCCTTTGGCGGCTGAGGTTCGACGCTCGTCCGGCCCCGGCGACCAGAGCCGAGCCCCCTCCACGGTGCTGCCAGGCCCCTGTCGAGGACCGCGGAGCCCTCCCTCGCTTCGTTCTTTTCTCGGGGAGCCGGGCGCAGCCTGCGCTCATCCCCGAGCAGAAACTGAACACCCGCGCGGCACGGCGGCTGCCAGGGAGGCGGAGGGAGGCCGCGGCGGCGACAGGGAAGCGCGCCCGACCAGCGCCAGGGGACGCCGCCGCCCACGGCCGCCCCCTCGCCCGGGCTGGGTGGGAGCACGAGGGTAGCTCTCCCCACCTCCGTTCTACTGGCAGGCGCTCGGGGACTCCCGCACGCCCGTTTTCAGGGAGGGTGGACGCCGTCCTGCTGCTGAAGGCGACGACCCAGCAAAACCACCTTCCTGAAACGCACCCCTCGGGGCAAAGCTATAGAAAGGACCAGTGCCAGGGGGTGGAGGGCTTGTCTGATCCTGGGTATGGCAGCCCAGAGATCAGGGATGCGGCTCTGGCCCTAAAACAGACTAGCTGTGACCTTGGACAACCACTTCCCCTCTCTCAGCAGCTTCCTTGCCCTGGGGGCAGGGAGGTGACCTGACGTGCATCTGCAATCTAAGATGCTTTCCTGCGCCTGCCCCTACCTGCCCCCTTAGGAGCTGTGTAACCCCACATCATAGAACTATTGTGGGAATTCATTGAGATAAACACTTTGATTACTTAATCCAATCTTCACAACAGCCCTGTAAGGTCATTTGCAGGACTGTACCCATTTTACAGATGAGAAAGCAAGACAGGCTCAGAGGTGGTGACTCACCCTGATCACTACCCTCGTAGTGGGGTGCTTACCCAAGCAGCCTGTCTCAGAGTTTCTCAGCCCTTCTCCCCAGGTCTCCCTGGTAAATCCCAAGATGTCAAGAAGCAGAGTCTGCAGGTTACAGCCAAACCTCAACCACTAACTGAAGAAGTCAGTCCAGCTCAAATCAGAAGTCCCCCCTCCAGGGCACGCTCATCAGGACCACAGCCCTCTTCCCATCCCACCCTTCCCCCATAAACCACAAGGGGGGCCAGGAGATGGTGGTATGGTGTCTGCAGGGGCAGAAATCAAACTTCTCAATTCTTTGGCCAAGTCCCATTCCCTGGGCTACCCAGCATTATTAATTAATAGGTTCCAATTATCAAGTGCTCATAATAATAGCTGCTTACATGCATGATACCATTTTATCCTTAAAACAACCTAATAATCCCCATTTTAGGGAACTGAACATTAAGCCATTTAAAGGTGGTCAACGCCCTGGCCCGGGGTGTTGCTTCCTTGTGTCATTTACTGGATGGCTCACCCATTAGTACCTCCCTGATGGCCTGCTGTGAGGTTAAACTGTAAACTCCCTGGAACTGGTTGAATTTTTTACCTTATGTATGCTTTGCCTATTTAAAAGAAAAGATAGTAATGACAAAGATAATCCCCGACCTTGGATTTGAGCACCAGTCATTGAATTAAATGAACTCAGAGAGGAGAAGGCCCTGACAACAGGATCAGGCTGTCCACA